TGCCACTGCCGCTAAAACTCTCAACAATGACGTTCAATTACCCTTTCCCTCTCCCTCTCTTTCTCTCCCTCTGTCTTTCCACCACCACCATTACAACTCTTAGTAGTGGCATTCAAATTTTATTTTAAGAATTTTTTTTTTATTTTTTATAATTTTTATTTATATTAATTATTAAATATTTTAATAGTTTTAATTTAATAATTCGATAATTATTAAATAATTTTTCATTGCTTCATGGACTTTATTACTATTTTCATTATTATTTTAACTTTTGATAATTTATTTTTAATTTATAAATTTATACGTATTTTCAATTTTATTCTTATTTTAATAAGTTTTTAATTTTTTTTCAATGTTATTCATATTTTATTCATATTTTTCAATGTTATTTTGAATTTAATAAATTATATTTTATGAAATAGTACAAAATAAACTCAAAATTACCAAATAGTCTATTTTAGGGGTAAAATAGTAAAATTAAGAAATTTCAGATGCTGAAGGTTTGATCCAATACAAACAACCTTGTCTGTTCAGAGCCTCTAAAAAGTCAAAAAGCATTTATATCTCTTTTCAGAATTATCTGTAAGAGTGAATTTGTAGGATATTATAATTTCAGCTCCTCTTCCTCCCTTATGAGGTAGGCTATAAGCTCAATGATATAATTTTGTATGTGTTGTCTCGAGTTTTTTTTTTTTTTTTTTTTCGCATTTTCATCTTGTTTTCTCTATTCTCTGGTCTTTGTCAATCGTTTGCAGGTATTGGGCTAGTTCTACCAAAAAAATAAATGAAATTGATAGGCAAAATAAGTTTATATACAAAGTATTAATTGTAATTTTGTATTTACTTTAATTAAATTTAAAAACATGTAATTCTAATATGAAGTTTTATTTACCATTTAGATATGTATCAGCCCAATTCGTATGTATCATGCCCCTTGGCCCAAAAGAGATGCATGTCAAACTGTAACAGCTGTATCTTATGGATATTTGAAAAATTGCCCCAAAGAATAAAAACTTTCATGGCGAAATTTGCCCGAAGAAAATGGATAATAGCGACAAATGTATACCCAAAAGGGTCATAGCAACCATACTGTGACAAAGAAGATTTATGGGTAATTGGAAGTCTGTCCAATTTTTTTATGGGTAATTGGAAGTCGGTCCAATATGAGAGTTTACTTTCCCATGAAAGGTCCAATACGTATTTCTCCCCTAAAAGGAATGAAGATATTGTTCTTACCCTAGGAGTGAACAAAAGACCAAAACTAAAAGACATAGAAGGTTGGCCCATTGAGCAGTTTTATCCACCAGCCAAAGTCATTTGCAAGAAAACTCAGGCCATGGGAACCAAAAAGTCTGCAAGTCTAAGTCAAGGCAAGGATTGATGAATACATGACAATACAAGAGTGATGATAGTTTGGACCAAAATGAATCCGCCAGGCAATTGGGGTTTTCTTTTCCTTCTTGCTGGGAATGAAACCTTAGGCTCCGTTTGGAAAGAGAATAATTACAAATATATAGAATGTAAAATTAATCTTGTATTTTGTATTGTTTTATATGTATTTAATATTATACATATTTGTATTTATACTCTTTCCAAACTGAGCCTTAAGCTCGTAGACAATGGTGCAACTTGGGCCAGGTTATCCCAAACCCAAATGAAAATGGTCAGTTGGGTTTGGATGATATTGAAATTTGGGTTAAGGTTGAGGCCTTTGCCAACGCAACCCAACCCAGTGAGGCCTTTCCAAGTACACTAAATATTGGGGTAGGTTTTTTGACCATTAATTGAGTTTTGGTGAAACCCAAAACTTTAGGGATCAGGGATGGTATTTGTCCATCCTAATCCGGACCTGAACCCACCCCACCCCGTTGCCATTCCTACTAATTTTGTCCTTTTACATATAACAATGCTAAAATCAATGAACCTTGATCCTCTCTATCTCAAGTCTAAAAAATCTAATATATATATATATATATTAAAGGAAGGATTTCAGGCTACAATCCTATTGTTCGAACATGTGGCTTTTTCAAATTTAGGCACATGGCATTTTCTAATAATAAAGCTCAGCTAATTATCACCATTCAGATAATTGGCCTTCTCATTTTCTAGAAAGCTAGACACGTGGCAATTTTTGAGAAATTCTTGTTAAATCCCACAACCCACTACTAGGCTACAACTCCCCACCACTCATACACATGGCCTTTTTATTTTTTTAGAAAGTTAGACACGTGGTATTTTCTGAGAAGTTATTGCTAAAGCCCACAACCCACTACCACTATTTTCAATCAATTATTAAAAAAATGCAGAAAATGTAAGAATAGTTATCCACAACCATATCAATCTCATTAAATCATTAACCATCTACTATTCATATTCTAATAATTATTGAAAAGCTACTTTTTGAAATAAAAATTTCTTAAAATTTTAATAATTATTTAAAATATTAATAAATATAAATTTAACAGTATTGATTCCATAATGTAAATTTAACATTACCGATTCCCCGTGCTTCATTCACCAGTTAATAATAAAAAAGCAAAATGAAGTGAAGAAACGAGTTCAACCCAAAAAATCAAATCGGGTGAGAGTTACACGACCTTAACTATTAATGTACCCAAAACACCAAGAAACAGACAGGTGGCATATAAGTTTGGTCCTTCTGATGTGACCAAGGTTGGTGAAATAGAGTCTGAAGACTCAAATATCCGCTTCTTGTCACGGGTAAGCAAAGGTTTCTTTGATAACTAGTGAATGAAGGGCGTGTTTGTTCTTAGACATACGGTGCAGAAATTGTTTGTTTATGCTTACTAGTTTACAAATTTATATAAACTAGGAAGGGGAGGGCCCATATCAGTGTCAATAAGTCTACGTGAGGAGCTAGACTGTTTGGCACTAGTGTATCATGGGGTCCCATTTTTGTACCTTCTGAGCTGGAATCTGATAATCAAGTTTATGGATCCATTATTAATATTTGAATTAATGTGGGAGAGCCTATGAGGTGTGTGGTTGACAGTTTGCCTGTTTTGAACCACTTGTATCCAATGCTGCTGACAATAACTTGTGTGACCCTGATTTATATAGAACGAATTTGAAGCGTTTGGGGTTGATTGAGATGTGAATTACTGAATTTGATACCGTTGCTGCCGTGATTTGTGTGGTGATGCATGGATGTAGACTCTCCTTGTCTAAGTAATTTCATAGTTATATGGTTTTTCTAACAAAAGCTCTAGGATCTTCATGTATGGTTCTTTGTGAATGTGCATAGTTAACACTGACACTTGAACACACAAAAGTACCTTTATATGCTTGGTTTGATGTAATGTAGGAATGCCAATGGCATGGGTTAATCAGGTAAACAAGCATGTAGGACAGCTAAAGAGTTGGATTCAAATATATAGAATATTCCTAGATCCAAACAAACCCATTAGCATATTGAGTCAAATTAAATTTGATTTGGATCAAATTGGGATATCATATTATTAGTAATAAACTATGAATTGCCATCATCTAATGCTGGTCCCTATCATCCCTGCCTCCCTGGTCTTGGGAGGAACTGAGTATGGATCTAACCTTTAGCATTATCTTTATTATTTTTTTCCTTTTGCTCAGATCACCACTCATAAACATGAAAAAAAATAATTCAACTTCTATGAATCTAGAAGTGAAGAATCCTTCGATAAAATAAATAAAATAAACCCAAAACTCGATCCAGCTTATCTAATACATATATTTGATAATGTTTGTGCAGATATGGACATTTTGTACTACAATATTATTGGATTCAGATTGGATCGGCTTGGGATGGCTAGATGGCATGATGTGACCCTTTACTATATGGATTTTAAGTATTTTTGTCTTTTTTCTTATTAGTTTTTATCTATTCTCCTTTTCCTCCAAATTCCCTTCCATTTCTTGACCCATTTCATTCTTCTAGCACTGCCTTGGCCCACTCTATTTGCAGTGCAGTTCAAGTCTACAGTTAGGGATGTCAATGGGTCATGGCATAGAGTATTCTTGTAATATTTTATGATTTTTATCTTATAATCTTAAAGTTTTAGAAATTTTTTTTGGGAGAATGACTGATCAATCCAACTCAGAAT